TATGCTTAGTACACTTAGAATGTCCCATAAAGATTCCTCCATAGCGTCTTCTTACACACTGCCTCATAATACGGCAAACACTGTCTTACCGACGCTGCAACCAGGGGTGCACTAGCAGCGACCTTAACTATTTGCACACCTCATCTATAATTTAAACAACCTAGATGATATGAGTATTTTGCATCGTTTAATCCTGCGGGCAGACATGCCTGCAATTCTTCCTCTCTTTTACCCCTGAGCCTTATTGCACCACCCAACCTGTTACCATTAGCATGTAATAACTACACACCCACCTTGTCTAGCATCATTCTTAACTTACATGCACTATTTCGCTGGGCCTCGAACTTCACCTGGTTTCTTTACCATGCAATAACTAAACACCTATTTTGTTCAGCATCACACACAAGTTATATAGGTATACACCACTTGCTGGCAACTCGAACCCAGGCATGTTAATGTAACTTAAATTAAATCAAGCGTGTTATAATATTGTTATATTCACTATAACCTGCTGACAGACCAAACGTTTATACTCTGTAAAAAAAAGAAAATGTGCAACTTAATCTTGTCATGACACTATATGCATTGACGTACCTGTGCCTGCTGTTGTGGCATCGCAGGCTAGTTTGTTAACCTTATTGCACAAGAAAAATAAAGAATTTAAAAAAATAAAAAAATTTAAGAGATCATCAACTTGAGAACAATATGGGCAGGATTACCTCTGAGACACCATTTCATCGTGGATGTGAGTAAAATAGAGGTTAAGAATGCACACACGAGCTGTACCAACACCCAGAAAACCCACACACGAAGCCACCACTCAAACTAACAAAACAAGCATGAATATTGGGCCCAAAATGGCCGACGACCTCGAGGACTTCACTGACTCCTCTGAGGACCTGGACCTGAACGGGGGTACAAGCGGGGGATTCCGCCTCCGCCAAAGACACAGACAACCCCAAAACACAGAGACAACGAACCGGTGACAGCAGCAATGCTCAGGGAGATGCTGGGCCACCTTCAGAAAATCCTGCTGCGCAGCGACTTCACGGGCATGGTCGGCCACCTGGGGGAGGTGGAAAACTCTGTGACTCACCACAAGCAAACCATCATAAACCTCCAGCTGGAAATGCAAAATCTGAAATAACAGACCAGCAGTTTGCCATGCTTGAAGACTTGCGGTGCCACAACAACCTCAAGGTCAGAGGGGTACCAGAGGAGGTTTCCACAGCGGAGCTTACGCCCTTCATAAGGTGACTAATGGGAGCACTGTTAGCCCCAGGGCAAGCCAAGGGGGTAACCTTTGACGGGATATTCTGAGTCCCAAAACCCAGAAGAGCACCTGACACAGCCCCGCTAGACATCGTGGTGACAAACAAGCAGTGCTTGCTACCCTCAAGGGGAAGGTGCCCTATTCTTTTGGGAACACATCCCTATCATTTTACGCTGACCTCTCGGGAGACACCCTACAGTGGAGGAGGCACATGCAGCCAGTTACTGCCTTTCTAAGAAGCCACAACATACAAGTGGCGATCTCCAAGAGCACTACAAGTTATACAAGGAGATACAACCCATTCAGTGTCTGACCTTCAAGGAGCAAACGCGCTCCTGAGTCAGCTGGGAATATCGGAGAACTCCCTGCCTCAACCGGGAACCAGAGTCAAAAAATCCAGTTACACACAGCTGGGACCTGGCAAAAGCCAGGCCGTTTGTGCCACAGAGTGCACTGTCAAATGCCTATGCCACAGTCACCACCTGAGATGAAGGGACTGACACCTGATACAAATCTCTCTCCTACCCAGGACCGATGTTAAATGCAGTTTGAAGTTTATTTTTCTTTATGTTTGAAGTTCTTTTTTTTCTTTTATAATTTCAGCTCATTATCAATGACCAAGCTGCCCATAAGTACCCCAGCCCACAGCCAGATACTCCCACCCCCCACCTCATTACCCACGTACAAACCTTAATCAGCCAAGCGGAGCCAGGGGGTGTAACTAAGCTCATTTCAAAGGCCAGTCACTCCGAGCCTTCCCTCTTAGTCGCTCTCTATCTCAGCCAGACAACTGGCACCTTCACATAGCGAGGCCGACTAGGCATTTCAACAGACCCAAACAGTTGAACCACTCTTCAACCTATCCTATACTTTCATAGCATTAACAGGCCCCACACTGTCTCCACTAAAAATAACCAACAGTAGCCCATAGGGATGTGCATGGGCAAAATAATGGGTTTGGTTCGGAAATTCGAGTAAGAAAAATAATTCGGCACTTCGGCAATTCGGAACATCTTTAGGGCTCCCTAACTCTACCCCTACCCCTAGCCCTACCCCTGTCATCATTCACTTAATTTTCCCTCCCTCTCTTGTTTTGCCACTTTTCAGAAATCCAAAGCACTTCGGCACTTCCGAAATTAGGCACCTTGGCAATTCGGTACAGCACTTCTGAAATTTGGCAATTAGGCACTTCGGACATTCGGAATAGCCCAACAAAAGGCCGGTTATAAGGTCATAGTCACAGATGCCCCTACTAGTCTACACTATAAAAAAAATCCACTACTCACAGGACCCTTATACAGGATGTTTCAAATGTTAAACTTTGTTTATGCCATTATATGCTTTCGCAGTATTGTATGTCATAAACATTATGCACTGGCCCACCCAAGCTTGTGAGTGGAGCAAAAAATAATAATAAAAAAACCTGACTGTTTAGTGTTTTCCTACAAGCAAATTACTGAGAGATTGAGGGCATGTCAGGGATGGGCTTGTCATAACTGCTCTTTTACTGAAATAGTTAGAATTGGAGTATGAACGGGCTAGAAGTGTGACTAAATATGTTGCAGTTACCTCAATAAATTGACATATGGTTGTGTTACAGTTTCTTTGGAACCATTTAATTTTTTGTGATGTACCCATTGGGAACCACTTTTTACGGGTTTAATGTCTCTTTACTAAAATTAAGGGGCCTAGCCCATTACATGACAAACAGACCTAAGCAATCCTCCACAACTAAACCCATAGTCCTACATTGAACCTGCAGGAGGTACAATGTGTTTCATCACTCCAGTGTGTTCCAGGGTATGATGTATGTTGGCTTTACATCTCTGGAGCAACTGATCATTGTTATTGGTCATGTTATGTTTGTGTGCATCCACAATGAAAACAAACCAATTTTATTAAGCTCCTGATAAACACTTTTGGACATTGTTTCCATACACAATGTAAGTGTAATATTGCTCTTTGCTTGGTTCCATCTTGCTTTGGACTACACCATCTTATGTCTGTATGATCTTTTCAACGTTCCCATGAGATAACCAAGCCTTTTGTATTCCAGAAAACTGTCCTTGAGTGATGAGAAGACCTTAGAGTGTTGTGAACGTCTGGAATGCGTGTAAGATATCTTTGTGTCTATTGTGCACCTGTTCATTGTGAACTTTTGTCAAAGGAAATGTTGTTCTGGTCTTATATTCAAAACAATGGCCACGTGTCCTGTTACAAGACTTCACCTGGTTAGAGTAGGAAATTCCTAGTTCCAATATACTAAACTAACCACATAATAATATCTTGTTAAATAGCAACCTGTAACTTAAGACCCTAGTTCTTTAAAAAAAAAATTTTTTATTTTAGTAGTGCAGATAATCACAATATTTCAACAAGCGCCACAACAGCGTATTTCAAGTTTCATACATGGTAGACAGTGGTATGATAATTTGCACAATTTCTATATTTAACAGGCTTAACTAAACAGTTGATTTGTCCGAATAAGATTGAGTGAGATAAAATTAAGTAATGATGCTGGTTGTTTCTTAAGACCCTAGTTAATGCACGTAGAGATTCATAAATTTCATGTTACCTGAGGACAGTCAACGCCACTTTTACATTGTTAAAAACTGTATACATTGTTTGTTTGAAGGTTCTTTGTCAGAGATCATTTGTATCTCTCCAATATTGACAATATTACTGTATGGTACAATAATCTTACCTACTCATCAAAAGAACTCAGAGCCATTTTCAGTCTCGACTACGTCAAATGTTTGAACTGATCATTTCTACTGACTTCTTCGCGTAGCGTCATTCTATGACAGTTCCCTGTACAGGCAACATTACTGACAATATTTGTCTATGGAATTGACATGGTTTTGTACTCATATCAGACAAAACTAAATGATCAAATTCCACAAATTATAACAGGTGCCATTGCCATTATACATGCTTCCTTACTCAAACAGACCACAGTTATTGCTGATTAAGCAAGCACAATGGACAGGAATGATTAACCCCTTAAGGACACATGACATGTGTGACATGTCATGATTCCCTTTTATCCCTGAAGTTTGGTCCTTAAGGGGTTAAAGGACAGCTGAGGCCGAGGGCAAAGACCTATGGGACTTGTAGTCTAAAGAGAGATGGCAAGCCAAGGCTGTACTTTCCTGCTTTAACTAAATATTCATTATATGATTTCAACCACACAATAGGTTAACAAATACACAATTAAAAGAAGACTCAGACAAGTTAATGAGTTTCAGCAAACTGCTTTGCTGTTTTATTAACATGAAAAAAATGCAGCAAGACAAAACTAAAAAGAAATGCTACACCACTATCAATAGAACAAGGCCTGGCCGATACAGATAAGGGGATAAAGAAAGCATGAATCCTGTTTTATGTTTTACACAAAATAATGCATATCCTGCCCCAAACATTTTTCTTTACATTTCTTTTAAAAAAAAGAAAAAAAGAAACGTACACATTTATTTTATATACATATAAAAATATTTGAATGTTAAAACTTTTTTTTTTAAATTGTTTTATTTTAAATCTCCTTGGCTCTTTCCAGACTCCCTCTGCATTGCTTCACAGTAAATCATAGACTTTGCAACAAGTACATTCATTTTATAGCTATAAAATATGGAATACAATGTTAAAAAAAAACAGAAGAAGTTTGTACATATAAATACATAAAATATATAATCAGTGGTATTTTATAATACATTAGAATGGTTAGTGGGTTAAATCGACATTGCTGAGCGTTGTTTGGGGATCCATCATAATTAAAGTGTTCACCCTCTCTGGCAGTGTAGTTTGCCTTTACATTAAGATCATGGCATGTGCGTCAAAATAAGAAGACCACTCAGGTTCCACAGTTTAGACGAATTACAGTTACTAAAATTCTCATGTTAAAGGGACACTATAGTCACCAAGACATTTTTAGCTTAATGAAGCATATTGGTGTATAGATCATCCCCCTGTAGTCTCACTGCTCAATTCTCTGCCATTTAGCTGTTAAATCACTTTGTTTACGCAGCCCTAGTCACACCTCCCTGCAAGTGACTTACACAACATTTCTAAACACTTTGTTTAAAGAGTCATCTAATATTAACACTTCATTTATTGCACAGTCTGATTAAAGGAACACTCCAGGCTTCTGCCCACTGGAGTGGTCTGGGTGCCAACTCCCACTACCCTTAACCCTGCAACAGTTTTCACCCCTTCAGCAACCGGGGATGGGTGGTGGGAGGGAGAGGGGACCTGCAGTGCCAGGAAAATGGATTGTTTTCCTGGCACTGGAGAGTCCCTTTAACTTAGAATGTCTTGTCTTCTGCACTGTTAATAGCTTACTAGAAGCTTGCAGGAGCCTCCTATATGTGCTTAAAGTTAAATTTACAGAGCAGGAGATAAAAAATAAATAAACAACGTCTAAATTGAGTTAACATCTGATTGAACATGAAAACCTTTTTTTAATGCAGGTTGTATGAGTCACAGTCAGGGAATATGTGGCTAGGGCTGCATAAGCAGAAGCAAAGTGATTTAACTCCTAAATGGCAGAGAATTGAGCAGTGAGACTGCAGGGGCATGATCTATACACCAAAACTGCTTCATTAAGCTAATGTTGCTTTAGTGACTATAGTGTCCCTTTAAACAACCCCAGGGACTAAATCACTAAACAAATGTGTTACAACAACTGGATTAGAAAGTTTCCTCATTTTCCTAATCAAAAAAGTGACTAACCCCTTAAAAATCATTAAATCATGTGTGAACTGCATGTGTAGGCTATATATAAAATATGCTGCATTGATGATAAAGGAATAAAATGCAGCTCATGTTAAATGAGGTAGGAACCTACAGTGTTTCTCTGTGATATATTCTATTTTCAATAAATCTTTCCGCAACATACTGTATTAATCAATGAGAGTCCACCTATAACCTACATAAATTCAGGTCAACATAAGGCTATTCACTCGTTCACTATTCACTCTGCCATTTCCATAGTTTGTTGATGTCACTGTTTGTTGTTTTGCTTTGAGCATTATACAATACTGAACACAAAATTCCGTCAGCCTAACTTGCAAACTCTGGTGATTGCCCTTACTCTATTATGGGTGTCCATCATAGATTAAATGATAATTATAGCTACATAGTATGTGAACCTGGCACTCACCGAAGCACAGCTTATTTTAGTAAATTTTACCACCAAAGGGTAACTGTATAGTGCTATTGTAATCGGTGATTCACTAAACTCTGCATTGTGGAGAATTGCTAAATTTAGTTAAAATAGCTCATCTGAAAGAATCCAGCTAAAGCCACAGCTTCATTAGTCAAATCTCAATTTTGTTATTCATTTTTTGTTTTTTGCTATTTAACATGTGATGAATAAACACTGGAGATTCTCTTTGCCAAATGTCATGGTCCAAAGGATTACCGTTGGTACAATTTAATCAATCAGCAAGCTACCGTCTTTATATAAGGGTTCCTCAAAAATCCATATCACAAGTTTGCAAACCAGAGGAATTATTCAATGCTTTTTGTACTGAAGTGGGCAGGATATAGAGTGGCCATAGCGAATGTTGCGTGCATGTTATCCCTAATATCGTTTTGGAATAACAATAACATTTTTGAAAAACATCAGTATCCATGTGCTCTTAGGCCTGCTTCACGCTCAACTTTAAATAAATATTTAATTTGTTAACTTTCAAAACGTCCATCTATACTTTCTGCTTTCCTCTGCGATTTAATACTCCCACTCAAATTAACAATTATTCTTTAGTGATTATCTATGTATCTTTTCAAGTGTCATATGGATTTTAAATGCATTTTCTGAATATGTGTTTTCAGTAGCAACGTTAGCAGTCTCCTCCTGAAGGTGTGAAAGAGATAAAATTTAAGCATTTTCCCAACCACATTAATGGGCTCCTTGAAGTGGTCTGGGTGCAGTGTCCCTATTGCACTTAGTGCTGAAATGTTAAACATTGCAGTTCCAGAGAAACTGCAATGTTTACATTGAAGCACTAAGTCTGCCCTCCTACCAGACAGCCACTGGAGGCGCTTCCTGGATCCTCCCTCCCTCCTCCCTCAGCATCATTTTCACAATGACACAAATAACCAAACATTTACTATGTTCTTTAGTTTTCTCATTTTACCTTAAGTCTTCGACCTCCTCATAACCAAAGTCCAACTGCTCGTTTTACTGCTCATTTTATGAACATTTGTTTCTAGACATTCATGAGATAATTCTAGCCCCACCTTAAACTCATCATTTAGGATTCATCTAACCCTACTTCATCTACCAAAACACAGAGTCTCTTTTTAACAATAACCCTTCCCATCTAAGGCCTCAATTTAATATTTTTGGATAAACTTTTAAATTTACTTACTATTTTAGAAAATATTTTAATATTATGATATTGAAAAAACAAAAACATCCCTCAATAATTCTAAAATTTTTGCCAAAAATATTAATGCATTTGAAAAGCTTACTCAAAAATATGAAATCAAGCCTAAGATTTTAATTTATTCTTTGTAACAACAGTCTTGTCTCTAGATTAACGTAACCTTGTTCTAACTTCTAACTGTATAAATAAACTATCCATCCCAACTTCACTCTACAAGCATCGATCAGATTTACCCATTTTGATAAAACCAACTTTTAGTCTACCATGCGTATACTTTCATTGCCTCGACTCTGCAGGGATGAAGTTGATTCACCATTTATCTTGGACTTCATCTGCTACGCAAATCCCTTAACTGTAGGCATTAAACATCTCACATTCAGTATGTTGCTTTAGTAACCAAACTGTATAACTGTGCTTTAACATTCCATCTAAGCTGTAATAAAATATAATAAAACTGCCATTATTAATAAAAGGATATTTTATCAGCTAAAAGAAAATGGGTATTTCCATACGGTGATGCTTCTTGTACAATAAGTTAAGGTGCCGATTTGGAAACCATTTTCTCCAAGAGGTTCATCATCCTTTCCTGAAGTTGTAGACTTTGTACTTGGATGATGTTCTGTTGGTCCAATATCCTCCTCACTTCCCTACATGTCTCTTCCATGGCACGGCTCAGCTTCTTCTGTTCCTCCAACATGTTCTCCATGATTTTCAGTTTCTTCTTCTGGAAATTGAAGCTCTGCAACTTTCTTTTCTTTACTACTCTCTCACCAGTCCTACAATAAGAATATTGCATTTGTTATATTTTGTAGCAGACGGTATCTACAGCTGAATTCTAGAATCTCTAGAAAAGAGGATCATTAGGATAGAAGAGAAGGAAAGAGGAGTTTGGGCCAAAAATAGGGACTGTCCCTCCTAAATAGGGACACTTGGAAGGTATGAGTATGTACGTAGCTCAGCCAATGAGAGTTCAGTGTCAGCTGCGTGGCTAACGTCCCATCTCCCCCACACGGTCAACCACTGTTCACTTATTATCTGTTAATAGAGCAACGCTGTGCTAAGGGGAAAGGGCGCAAATACTAAGAGAACAGTGATTGGCTATGGGGCAGAGTGATGTCAGAAGCTCAGCTCCGGAGTAAATATTCAAGATACAGTACGTTGCTTTGTGAAAAGAGGGAGTATGACTAAAGACACAAGGTTATGCTGCAGAAAGATACATAATATGTCTCTTTTTTTTTTTAGCAAAACTAGTGAGGTTTGAATCTGAAGAAAAGCACAGAATGAATGCGAGGTCAAAATCGATCAAATTAGTAATGTTGGTGTGGTGCTCATAGTACGACTGTAGTGTAATTTTAATTGGTGTGCACTGTGCAGGGAAAACATTTGTTGATATCTATAGCTTTATTCCAGCCTGTATTGCTTATAAGGTGTTGATACACGTCATTCTATGACTCAAATCGGTTTGACGTGACATTGGCAGCTGAGTTACCTCTATGCCCATGCAGTGATAGGAAAAATCTAATTTCTTTAAATATAGATTAAAGGATCGGTATAAGCTTCGTAAGCACTACTGCAATAGATATTACGCTTTGTCCATCCTTAGCCCACTTGCATATGGGTTGTCTCATATCAATTTTGTCCAAATAGTGCCTGCAGCCTTTTCTGTGTATAAACTGACAATAGCTGCAGTTTAAAAAAACAAAACAGTTCCAATCATCCTAAGTGCTGATTTGAACTGCAGGTACAGGGCTAACTATCCCCCCAAGCTCTGCTGGACAATGTCCCCAAAGATCAGAATGAATGGCTCCTGACTACAGTATCTGGTCCTGGTTTGGAAGGGGGTCTGTCTGGATCTGCTGGTAGACACATTAAGCAGTGCACCTTATAGACACTTTACAAGTATGTGATTTAGTTGTTTCTTAATTTCATTTTTCAATAGATTATCTATGTATTAAAACATACAGGGGCAATTTTCACATAGACTAATTCATTAAGGCAGGGGAGCTTACACTTTATGGGCATGTAGAGATACAAAAAACCTAATTGAATCAAGAGAGCACTTTGGTTTGTGACAATACATTGATAACGTTTTGCTCATTCAACTTGAACTGCATCTGAATACTATGGTCCTTGCAGATGCCCAAGGGTGATGGGAGTTGAGCTCAGTAATGTGCGTTTCAGTTAGGTGAACAAAGCCTTATTGCAGATTGCACCCAAAAATGGAGCAAAATTTTTTTTACATTTACAGAAACCACATTGTAACTGGTGGCTACAGTGGCTTACTAGCCACCAGCTAATTAGTTATATAACCCCCATTATGTGCCTTAGGGCAGGTAGTTCCATTCCTTCCTATAGAGAAGTTAACCCTTTGCAGTGAGCACGATTTTGGAATTAATTGGGTTAAAGCCAACATCACTATGTAACCATGCAGTACAGCCCTGTTTCTGCCTGATCAGGCTCATTATAATTCTAGACAAACAGTGGACATGGAAGTGATGTAAAAATTACTGTTTGCTTCCAACAAAGCCCGGAACGCCAGCGGCTCTGCTCTCTGCTCCTTTCCCAGGGAATACATTATCTCATGTGTGGAGTATTAGATTAAAGGAGTTTAATGAGACAAGGAACAATGTAGAACAATGCTCCCCTCAGTTACACACACAGCTCCCAGATTCATTGTATGCCCTCACCGCCAAACACAATGCTAAATGGGACCGCAGAATGCATTAAAGATGTATGTCTAAAACCTCTACGGAAAGCTCCCCAATGGTGCATAGTACTGCAATTTTGTAATCATAGACATTTACGTTTCTGAACACTAATGTACTTACTTTCACTAAACAGCAAATTATGGTAAAATAAAATTGAAAATAAATATCCATATTTGGTTTCGAATTTTGTCATTCGCTTATTAGTTAGCAAAAATTCATGGTTGGATGAAAAAAGTCCCTAGGGTCTCTGAGAAGCCAGCCGTCACCACTCATTCTGCATAAAGTCTGGCGCTAAGGAAGAGAAGTTGGGTTTACGCACAGATGTCCCCACACATGCAGCTGGACACAGAGCCGCGTTACCCATTAGGTGATTATGGCGGCCCTGGACATCCTTGAGCAAGCAGGAAGATCAAAAGATCTCCCTGTTTGGTCTTGTGCACCTCACAATGCTGAGCATTGAGGTCTCTATCAACATCACATACAAACCACTTTAAGAGCGCCCTCGCAGTCCCCTGGTGCTTCAATGACTCATAGCACCACAGCTGGCAAACTGAGTCATGGACTGAGCAATGGAACCTTGAGGGCGCTCTTAAATTGGTCTGCCATTCCAGAAAATATTTCATTATTGATGTATATTCACTGAAACCAAAGTGACACCATCTGACTGTATGTAACCAGGTTGAGGGGTAAATGAAGAAGCTTCATTTTATATTACACGTATATAATAAGCAAAACAGCCTGCATCAGGAGAAGACACCAAATTAAACACTTTTTATCTGACTGTCTGTACCCTGGCTTTGCATTGAATGAAGCAGTTTCAGTGAGTATTGTACATGAAGAAGAAAGGAGAAATATGGGACAAATTATATCTTATGTATTGCAAAGTGAATGAGCACACATTAGAAAAACAATCCTGGAGTTGCTGCAGTTTGTCCTGCTCATCGTGGAAGTGTTCTGACCACAACTAATCATGGCAATGTCTAAACTAGCTACTGTATGCATACTGTATGTCAGGGCCGGACTGGGAAGAAAATTCGGCCCGGGTATTTTTTAATTACAACGGACCACTTAAAAGGGGGCGGGGCCAGATACAGTGTGTTTTGTCATCACCGGTGACAAGCACGTCCAATCACAAAGCGAGCATGTTGGTTCAATGCTCTTCCAGGGCAGACCATGCGCAGAGCTCTGCTGCAGAGCTCTAGCATGAGAAAAAGGCCCTGTATTTGTTCTGCACAGCGCAAGCAAATTTAAAGGGACTCTCTATTGCCAGGAAAACAAATCAATTTTCCTGGCACTGCAGAATCCTGCAGTACCCCCTTCCCTCTCACCACCTATCCCATGTTAAAACCCCTTCAGTCACTTACATGAATCCAACGCCGATGTCCCTTGGTCAGTGGGGGAGACCTAATGCGCATCCTATGGGGATTCTGGCGACGCTGAGGACGTCTAGCGCCATTTAAAACACTTTTCGTGTTTTAAGAACCCGGAAAATCCCTCTAGTGGCTGTCTCATAGACAGCCACTAGAGGAGGACTTAACCCTGCAAGGTAATTATTGCAGTTTATAAAAACTGCAATAATTACACTTGCAGGGTTAAGGGTGATGGGAGTGTCACCCAGACCACTACAATGGGCAGAAGTGATCTGGGTGCCTGGAGTGTCCCTTTAAAAACATGCTCGCACTGTGTTTTGTTGAAATTTGTAAAAATACTGTTTGTGTGAGGGGTGCAATGTGTGTGTGCTGTGTGTGAGTGATGGGTGCAGTGTGTGTGTGAGGGTTCTGTATTTGAGTGAGGATGTTATGTGCATGTGGGGAAGCTGTGTGTGAGTGTGCAGTGTGTGTATGAGGTTGCTGTGAGTGTCAGGGGTGCAGTGTGTGTGTGTGTAAGGGTGCTGTGAGTTTCAGGGGTGCAGTGTGTGTGTGTGAGGGGTGCAGTGTGTGTGCAAAAGGGGTGCAGTGTGTGTGTGAGGGTGGTGTGTGGGTAAGGGTGCTGTGTGTGTGTAAAGGGGTGCAGTGTGTGAGTGATGGGTGCAGTGTGTGTGAGGGTGCGATGTGAGTGTGCAGTGTGTGTGTGTCAGGGGTGCAGTGTGTGTGTGTGTGCTGTGAGTGCCAGGGGTGCAGTGTGTGTGTGTGAGTGAGGGTGCTGGTGTGTGAATATGTTTGGAGGGCTTGTGTGTTGGGGGGGAGTTTACTATCTATATATTAATTTAAAAAAATAAAGAAGCATTGATTATATCCCCCCTCCCTTCTTACCTTTAGCCTGGGAGGAGGGACTGTGCTGACATCCCTGGTGGTGTTAGTGGTGAGTGAACTCTAGCCTGTGGGGCTAGAGTTCACTCTCGCGAAAGACCCGGAGCGATGCCATGGCAACGCTCTGAATCTTGCAAGAGGAAACAGGCGGTGCTGCAAGATAGAGCTCCTCCGGGTTCCTCTCCTGTCTCCCACCCTCTCTTCCCTGCCGGTGGCCACAATACACCACGTGTGGGCCGGTGAGGGAGATCTTTGATCTCCCCACCGGCACGTCATGGAACACAGCGGGGCCGGCGCTCGGATAGTGCCGGTCCTGCATAAGACGGCAGGGGAGATCCCCCAATGGCCAGTTAATGCACATTTTTAACCCCAGGATAACCTCCAACTGTGTGTTCCAGGCAGTTAACAATCCTTGTGGCTTAATGTTTTGGCCCATATGCAGACTGGATTTAGGTTAGGTGCCGATAGGCATGTAATTCTAAGATACCCCCTGCATTTCCCTCTCCCACCAAAAAATTATAGAACAGCAGATAAATTTAGTTTTTTACCTTTATTTAAGGCACACGGCAGGCGCTATAGCTATTTAATCTCAACACACACTGCAGTCCTCTCTCCACCTAAAACACACACAACATACCAAACATACCTTACAGACCCTGTCTCTCCCAAGCACACTCTACAGACCCTACAGCTGTCCATACTCTTATAGCATGTACGAACAGACATCCGCTATTCACATGCACACACATACTACACTGCAAACTGTCATATCCACACAAACACACAACCCCACAATAGCCTCCCTCTCATATATGCAGTTCTACAAGCAGCCTCCAACCCAAAGGTGCAACCCCACAAGACGAGGAATACCCTACCCTCACACATGCAACACCACAAAGAGTCAAATGCCCTGTGATAAAGTGAGAGGCCTTTAACATTTAACCCCAGGGGAAGTATGTGTTGTATGTGTGGTGTGCAACACAAAGCTATGCTTTGGGGGCCCCTGGGGTGGAGCATTTGGAGAGCAGGGTGGGCCAATGCTCCACTCCTCAGTTTATACACAACTGGGAGAAATAAGGTCCAGGCCAGAGTTTTTTGAAACTGTCTCCAACCCACTGCTCAGCTCCAGATAATCAGCTGTAGCAGTGGGAATAAACCCCTCCCTGCTAGGCAGGTAAAGGGGGATTGCTGGCTTCCACCCTGGAAGCAGGTAGGAGAGAGGCCGTTCTCTCCAGTGAGAGAGTCAAGGAGACTGAGCACTGGGAGCGCAGAAGGAAGCAGTCACGGCTGGCTTGGAGCACTGGGAGTGCAGAAAGGAAAGCAGTTAAGGCTGGCTTGGAGCACTGGGAGTGTAGAAAGGAAAGCAACAGGCTGACTAAGCACTTGAGTGCAGAGAGCTGACAAAGACACTAGGTTGGTGAAACCAATATTGTTTTGTTCTAGTTTAACCCCTGAGAGATAGGGAACCTGATGTTAGTAAGTGCTCAGATGAGCTAGGTTTTTGTTTATAGGGATTTGTGTTATATTTATGTTTCATTTGCTGCTGTCTCCTGTGTGGACTTATACTGTGCCTGGATTATATGAAAATAAAAGGACTGTGCCTGTTGTTTACCCTAGAGGACCATGCTATCTGTAAACAAGGATCACAACCCCCACACACAAACCACACATGTAGTGTCCCAACTAACATGCAACCTCCACATACTCCACGCTCTCACAGCCCTGAACCACTTATCATTTAATCACCCACTTAGTCACATTCACTTGATACCTCAAACTAGTCAATTTCACCCATCCCGTCACATGCACCAAATTTACATACATCTATATGGAGGTGCATGAAAGAAACTGGCCTTGGGGCAGAGGGGATGGTACATCTGGCCCCGGTTGTCCTCTTCTTTTATTGCAGGCTGAATTGCTTTGTGGTATAGATCACTCAATGCTATCAATAGCTGAGCTGTGTTTGTTCAATGATACAATGCCTGGATTGTCCCTTTAACCTTCCTATCCAAGGCAAATAAATGTATGTATTAAAAAGAGAACTAAACATTATAGACCACATAGTGTGTAGTAGAACATTGGAAGGAGCAGCCCATAAGGAAGTCTTAAAAAAAGTTTGGATTTTACATTTTATGTAAAATTCTTCAAACCATATTTCCCATTTTTGGTTCACCTGATTTGCTGATGCCACACACATTTGCTTAGTGTACTTGTTAAGTAACGGATGTAACATTTTATGTACTATATAGGATTTCTGTACTATATTAGAATGATATGATCTGAAGAAGTGCTGTAATGTGTTAAAACACTACAACATGCAAGATCCATTAACATTTACCTCAGTTTGTATGACTGCAGACTGGTGGAGCTTTCGGAATGATCATCTTCGAAACATTCTTCTCTCTCCTCGTATGTAAACTGATTGTAGGGTAAGTAGAGGGGCGTAGATTTGGCAGAAGGGGATTGTGAGGCTTCTGTTTGAGAAGTGGACGGCCCAGCTTGCTGCCTCCCGTCACTCTGCTCTGGCAGCTTAGACAAGATCCGATCAATAGTTTTAAAGTAAGGCCAATCAGGAGGAACAGACTCCCCATCGCTCATGCATTTCAACTTTCTAGAAAAGGAAAATAAGTAAATAATCAAATGCAAATAACAAGATTTAACAGCCAACAGCCTGATCTAGAAGAGATATATATGAAGATCAAAACACATTTAGAGTTATGGAATATTATAAAATATAAATATAAAACAAACACTAAATCAAAGTATCCTTAGACTGTTTTGCTAGAAAACCTGAGCAATACAGAAAGAGTTATGGAAAAAATATTGGATTTACTGCTAACACCAATTATAATCCATTAGCTATAATTCATCAAACTCCATCATTGTACTGGACTGCTCATCTCACCTATTGACACTCCAGGCTGGACTGGCTTACGTTGATTTATTGCCCATTGCCACCCATTACAGGCCGGACCCAAGTTTGCTCTTCTTTGTTCACACCAGGGTCGGATTAACATAGGGGCTGATGGAGCTGCAGCTCCAGGCCCAGGCCCAGGCCCATGGAATAGGCACATTTAAAAAAAGTTTTTAAAAATTACTTTTTTTAAATTTTTTTTTTACACCCTATTCTTTTTTTCCCCCTGACTGGTATTTTACTGACACAAATGGTATTTGAAGCTTGGAGACACTGGGGAAACTTGGGGACACTGAGACACTTGGGGACACTGAAACACGCTGTGAGACATAGGGACATTGATAGACACATTGGGACACGGAGACACTAAGGATACAGTGTCTCCATGTCTTCCAGTGTCCCCATGGCTCCCAGTGTCCCCTAGTCTCCCAGTGTCTGTGTCCCCATGTCTCTCAGTGTCCCAGTGCCCCAATGCCTCCCAGTGTCCCCATGTCTCCCAGCCAGTGTCCCTATTGTGTCCCCGTCTCTCAGTATCCCTAGTCTCCCAGTGTCCCCAAATGTTTCAGTGTCCCCAAGTGTCTGTGTCTCCATGCCTCCCAGCTAGTGTCTCAGTGTCCCCATGTCTCCCAGTGTCTGTGTTCCCATGTTTCTCAGTGTCCCTAGTATCTTAATATCCCCAAATGTCTGTGTCCCTAGTGTCTGTGTCTCCATGTCTCACTTTGTCCCCATGTCTCTCAGTGTCCCCTAGTATCCTAGTGACACAGGACACACTGAGACATGGGGACACTGGGAGCAATGAGGACACAGACACGGGGAGACTAGTGGACTAGGTGACATGGGTACACTGACACTGTGATACATAGGGACACTGATGCCAGGCTGGCCTTCCAATTCTTTGGGCAGACAAGCACCCTTTTTGGGCATTTTCGCTCCTTTTGGCAGTTTTGGTCACGTGATTCGTGTCAGTGGCCCACCCTTTTACACCGCCCATTAACATCCTGCTTCGCTGGACACACTGCTGTTAGGGGGAATGGATTTACTTGAAAGATGAAAGCATTAATTAGAGAGAGATTAGCATATTTTAAGAGAATCTGCGTTTTCTTATAGCTGCATCCTATGAGTTTCCCTCTGGCACCATCTCCACCAGATATATAACGCTGGAGAGGTATGACTGTTTTAGTGTTTATGGTCAATAAGATTCTGTAATTAGGCCCCTCATAATTGTCAGAACCAGGCCCACTGGGCTCTTAATCTGGCCATGGTTCACACTATGCACATTCTCAACATATCGTGGCATTGGCTTGGGTTATCACCAAAGCTGTACAGGCATAGTTCATAGCCCACTTTATCCACAGTGTGGCAGGAATGTGTGCACGTTTTGACCGTCCATTGTGAAATCCCAGACATCCCCACTAAACTCATCTACCACAGTCGTAACGCATAGAACATCTACGATTACAGCTTTTGCCCACCGTGACACTTTTCTTGTACCGACTGCACTTCATACTGCAATGTAGACTTCAGAGGTTCCACCACAAAGCCAAAACTGGCCTATATCGTAAACCAAGCTGTTTCCATACTCTATAAATCATGGTCTCTATGCAGGACTTATTACCACTGCCACTTGTGAAGAAATAGTGGGAGAACTAACTGGCTTGGGGCGATGCTGTCTGAGGACCCCTACATTACAACTTGAAAGACGGTGCACCATCCCTATAACCTAGAGTTTGGCTTTGCTTCCTTTCCTGCCACCCACAGCAACATGTTGCAATTACATCCTCTGGTCAATTCTTATCCGTATACATTTATATATTTTTTAATTTTTATGTTGACCTTGCTTGCTTTATGGCCGATCTATGTATAGCTCCACCTCCTAAACTGGATGTTGTGATCCTCAGAATAATAATTGTTTATTCCTTGCTTGTTTATTGAAAAAGTTGAATAAAAGACTTTGCTCACTTACATGTCTGTATTATTTATTATTATTGTACTATTCCTTATGTACATGTACTGTTGCACTCTATGGCTTGTTGTTGCATTTGATTTGAACCTGACCCATTCTTCTCAATAAAAAGAATGTTAATGGTATTTGTGCTTCTGCTGTAACTATTCTGGAAGAAAAGGCAAGATATACAGTATCATCTTTACTATCGTATAAACCCAGTACTTCTGCAAAGGGATGAGCTAAGTTGAATATTAAAAAGAATAATAGAATTCGTTAAATTGCCAGTTTTTACTTTGTTTTGTTTGTTATTTAGATATAAGTGAATAGCACTGTATAAAGTTGCTGTTTTAGTATATAAACTCGATGCTTAAAAAAACAAAACGAAAAAAAACTTTTAATAGTCAAGACCCCGTTATATAGAAAGAGGCAAAATTAAAGTAATAGGTGTAGTTTTCAGACATAAATAAAGACGTCCAGGGAGTTCACAAGAAATAACCCCCAACAGCCAAACTACATAAACAAGGTACAAATTAGAGTGAATGATTCCAGCATGGGAAAAGGTCAACCTGAATCAGGGAACCAGAAATCACAATGGTACCAGAGTAGGTGAATCACATATAACTGAGCAACACACACAGAACTACACAGGGAGAGGAAGTGTCAGGTTTATACAGGTATGTCCATGGGTGATACATGGAATTCTACAGTTGCATTCCGACAATGTCTCGTTGACATGTTGCCATTGTTAGGTGACAGGAGTGTACTAGGAACAATGACGGAGCATCTAGTATCAAAAGGGCTGCAATCAGGGACATTGCTAGGATCCAGAAACACCTGGGGCAGGAGACCAAAGAAAAGCTTAATGACTTCTACATTGACAGAGAGGTAAATATATCTCACGACCTTACCATGTTCTGCCCTGTCCTCTCTACCCATGAATAGCATGCTGCTACTGCTGCTCTCCAGGAAATCAAAAAAAGCATAGCCAGAAACAAGCACATGCTGCACAGACAGTCATTCAATGCGACCTCGCCTTGCTACCTCACTAATAGCATCCCTTCCTGACAGTCAGATGGGGGGCCACTAACTTCTCCCCTTAAGTTGCCTGGTGTAGCACCATACCACTAATCTTTCTTTTTATAATAGGAAGCAGTTGCCTGATTTTAAATAATTTAAAAAAACCTAACACTATTATACACATGCTCATTCCACCAACTGTGGAGAATGTGGGCTAAAGAGCTCCGTATCCAGGGCTTAAGACCCCCAAAATCCATCCTTCGCAACGCCTATGTCTGTAACATGCAAGTCCATAGACATGACTGCAGAGATTGGCAGAGGAAGGATTCTATTCTCCCCCTTTGTGCTACTATATTACCCCTCTGCTGTTACATATTGTAGGATGACCTGGATTCCAAATACCATCCATCTCCTGTTTCATTGCCGCACACAGTATGTATTATTACAGGAAAATTAGTCTTGTTCAAGGTTTCCGAAACCTTAGCAAAATTGAGAAGAAACAATATTAGTTGAATTATTGTAAATGTAAGCACACATAATGACACCTTGGCTCTCTGGGGCATATATTCCTGGAATCTCTAATTGTAATATCTTTAATGGGCTAATTTTAGGAGATTTCCCCCCAGGCACATTTGTTCCATGTACACAGTAAAAAACTCCACTCACTGATGCTCGTTATAATTATTTCAGGATTTGCCTGTCTGCTGCAAGATTACTACCAGCTTATCCTCTCACTACAAACCAAGTAGAAAAAGGAACAAACAAATCTGCGTTTGGCTAGGAAAAAGACGCTGTTGAATCCACCTAGTGATTTGAAGAACAAGGAAGGTAAGGGACGTGCTGCAGTCCGAAACGCGTAGCTTACCAAGATCTGTCCTGCGAGAGGGAGCTTTTCACTGTATATCCAATGTAATTTCCATTAGAAGATTATTGCTCAATAAATATTTTTGGAAGGAACGGGCAGTGAATAATTGTCACGTGTAAATCCTATATAAAATATGAGAACAAAATGGTGGAAGGAAAATTTTCAAAATAAATTCACCTGATATTTGCAGGAAAACTTATAGACACCTGTACAGTAAAGTGCATATTGTCCAGAGTTGTCCTGTCTGTGTGTATAGGAGGACGCAAAAGCATCTTGGTGACACCTACTCCTTCCTCCCGCCAGTTTGCAACTTTTTCTCAATTATGAAGCTTTAACTATGAAACTAAAACAAGTTGAGGATTTACAACACCTGGCTGAGCAGGCACCCAGAGCTATTATCATGCTCCACTGTCTTACGTTGTTTTATTTTGTGACCCACATGGCATAGTGCCACGACTAATCCCCTTTCACCACAGTTAGGCAAGGCTTAATGCAGGGATTCTCATATTCTCACTCTCATCCACATATAATTGATGACGAGGGCCAATGGCATACTGTCTCCTGTGTTAACCCTAGCATGTTATGTTATACAATGTTTTCATTAATTTTACTCAGCTCCTACCTAGCATATCACATGCTCCATGTAATAACTTACTTCTCTTTCAACTTGTAATCACTCGGATCTTATCTTCAGATCCACAGTTAAGCCTGCTTTATTATACATATAACGTGCACTGTCCTCATATGCCATGACATAATATCTTAATGTATGTTCCTACTATGCTTGTCGCTGCCGTCATGGCATCTCAAGCCTGCATGTCAATCGTTGCACAATAAAAATAAAGAATAAAAAAAAAAAACAACGAGTTGAGGAGTGTAGCTAGGCTTAGGAATGATCATTAATTTGCTTGAGATGAATCTGTGGATTTTTGAAAACCCCCTAGCATGTACAGCAGGTACAATCAAAACTGCCTCAATGGAGGCCGAAGTAATTGTGAGAACATCAGAACAGCATAACTTACACACATTATAAAGAGACTGTATTTACTTAGAGATTAAACCTTGGTTCAGCATTAGACACATTTTTCTTCTGACCTCAGCACTTAGTTGGACTTTAACCTTAGCCAAACCTAACGTGAATTAATTTTAATGTCCTCTGCGTATTCCAAACAGGCTTCAGATAATGTCTTTTTCTCTTTCTCTAACTCTGCACATACCTTAATTTAAGCTCTTTTCCCTTTTTATTTTTTAACAGAGCTACAGTTTCTGAGGGCTTCTGTGTGGTTATATCAGAGATCATGATGTACCAAAAAGAGGGAGACTTTACCCAAGCTATTATCATGCTGTAGTTTTGTGTGTTTTTTTGTCATTGACTCTTGTAGTAATGGGGATGTAATGTAATTCTGTAACTGAATAGAACAGTTCATCTTATCACACTAAGTTTAATTCCAGAGAGGGGGTTGTTTTTAATTTCTAAAAGGCATCTGTGATGTTATTTATACTTTTTCCATAGTATAATTCCCTAATAATTTCCTTACAGCTGCTTTGAGAATGGCTGAATTGTTCCAGTAAGTCATTCTGGTAACAGGAAGAGACCACTGTGCACCACTGGGGCCCCTTACTTGAGCAATTCCAGAGTATTATTCTGAAATAATAGAGGAATTTACTAAAAGGACCAACCAGCTAAAAAAAAGGAAACATTTTCTTCCAGGCAAGTAAGATGGCTGGTTTTCTTGTCATGTTTAATTATATGAGTACACATTGACCTGGTTCCCGAAATAAACAAAGTAACTTTGCAGACAGTTTGATCCTCCAGATGCTGATAATTCATCCTACACTTCTTAATGATAGCATTGTAAAAGTTACTTTCTCTCTCCTTTATTCTCTTCAAGGGTATTCTGGATTCTCAAAAAGGCAGATGCGCTGTCTAGACAGCGCATCTCTACCACCTGACATATCTACCACCTTACTACTCTACCACCTGACAAGCTATACATACTCTTCGTAAACCCTTGCTCTGGTGTTTCTTTATTTCTCTAAACCCGCAATGCACCTACATATATCCTAGACCACTTTGATGGTTATAAGCCAAACTTGGTGTCCAACAGTCAAATGACATAAAAGACTCCATAATTGTTTGTATTGTTGGTGCCCAATCCAAAATTCTTCACACTTTGCCTTGTGCCCTTCTTAACACTCTGTCCATACCGGATAAATAGTTACATAGTTACGTAGCTGAACAGAGATAGAATCAGCCTTCCTCACATTTGTTTTTTGCTGTTGATCCAAAAGAAGGCAAAAAAACCCAGTTTGAAGCACAATTTTGCAACAAGCTAGGAAAAAAATTCCTTCTTGACCCCAGAATGGCAGTCAGATTTATCCTTGGATCAAGCAGTTATTACCCTACATTGAAAGATTATATCCTTGAATATTCTGTTTTTGCAAGTATGCATCTAGTAGCTGTTTAAACATCTGTATGGACTCTGATAAAACCACTTCTTCAGGCAGAGGTGGAATATTGTCACGACTGCTAGTGTGGTCCAACACGCAGAACTATGTAACATTAGCATAGATCATGAACTCTTCTTTATTAATTTTATTTTTGATACTATGCATTACAGAGGGCACAAAGTGATCCTCATGGTCAACAGCAAATTTTCTAAAATGGCACACCGCATACTGTTAACTATACCCATTACAGCTGCCAAGCTGTCTAACATTTTTTCTAAGTAGTTGTTCTGCTTGCATAGGTGTCCCATGGTAGTAGCCAGTCCCATGGTAGCAGCCAGTTTGTCTAATGGTTTGTGAGATCTTCTGTGTCCGCCGAGTGTTCCACCCCATCTCTGGAGCAGTAAATCCAAGGTTTCATTTCACGTATCTCTTCTCAAATCATCAATTTACAACTGTTCCACTACTTCTATCAATCCCCTGCTCCAATTCTCTTTGGCGGCCAGTAGTAATTCAAAGTGTAATTCATTGTTGATTCCTCAGCATCAATAAGCTGCAATATTTAGTTCTCTGAAAAGGGTTTGGTCCTAAAGAACAGTCTTGTGTTCAGGCATCTAATGCTTATGTACCAGGTCTCCATATAAATGCCATGGTTTTAAGGGAAGCAGTACTGTTCAGAAGTTTAACTCAGCTTACTTGAGGCAGTCATCTCAATGCACTTTGCTCCATCAATATCTCTTTTTCTTTCCAAATCCACGACAGAAAATAGCTATGCCGGCAATTTGCCAGATTGGTACATGAGTGACAGTCAGTCATTCAGTAAGCATCTTCAGCTTACCGGTGGAATATTGTCACAACTGCTAGTGTGGTCCAACACGCAGAATTATGTAAAATTAGCATAAAAAATAGAAAGGAAATAAAAAAGGATAGAACGTAAACCGGTCCTTAGAATGGCCAGACTAATTCGTTAGAGACAGAGAATGGTCAAGGGAAAGCCGAGGTCAAGGAAGTCAGAAATACACAAATACCGTTAAACAAGCCACGTCAGGGGAACCAGAAATCAGAGTAATCAAGAATAGCCAAGGTCAAAATACCAGAAATCACAAATACAGCAAGGATAAATGCACTCTCGGGAACCAGGACAGGAAACCACGATAGGGCAAGGTACTGGGGTGAATCAGGGATTTAAATATCCCTCTCTAGCCTATGATTGGTCAGAGGGTGACCTCTGACCCCAGCACGTGCGCGTGCATTGACATCGTGACGTCATATGCACATTAATATAATTTTGGGGGGCGGAGCCATGGATGGACTCGACCGCATGGTCGGCGCCATCTTTGTTTTGGTAAGAGAACTCGGAGGAACGGTTCCCGGTCCGCCGAGGAGCAGGTAAGCTAAGCTTGTCGATGAGATCGTGCCGGTCCAGGGCAGCATGAACGGGGACGGGGAGCATGAACCCGGTCGGCAGGAACTCAACTACGTTCCTCCGGACCATATCCCTTCTAGTCAACTAAATAAGACACAACACCCCTAGTGATCTTGGAGTCCAATATAGAGTGAACTTCGTATTCCTCCTTATCACCTTCCACCAATAGTGGAGGAGGAACAACCATTTTAGTGTATTGATTGCAAGTGAGGGGCTTAAGCAACGACACATTGAATGAATTGGCAATTATCATATGCGCAGGGAATGCCAAGGAATAAGTCACGGGGTTTATACGATGAATGACATGAAAAGGACCTATGTATCGAGGCGAAAGCTTCATGGAAGGAACCTTGAGCTTGATATGACGCATGGATAACCAGACCCTGTCTCCCACTTGATAGACAGGATTGGCACCCCGTCTCTTGTCTGCATGGACTTTAGCACGTCTTGATGCATTCTGTAGTGCCAAATGAACCGAATCCCACGTGTCTTGGATAGAAGTTAAACAGGCGTTCAAAGCAGGAATATCAGTGCCCAAATATTCAGAAGGTAAAACAGTGGGATGATAACCATTATTTCCAAAAAATGGACTATGATTGGAAGATTCATGAGTCACATTATTCCTGGCAAATTCAGCCATGGGCAAAAGTTCATACCAGTTGGACTGATTGGTATCGATAAAGCAGTGTAAATATGGTTCTAAAGACTGATTGGTCCTCTCCGCTGCACCATTAGTTTGAGGGTGATACGAAGAGGAAAACGAAAGTTCTATACCCAATTGCTTACAGAAGGCACGCCAAAACCTAGAAATAAATTGGGTACCTCTGTCGGAAATTATGTTTCTTGGTACTCCATGTAAGCGAAAGATTTATTTTATGAAACTTTGGACAAGATTTTTTTTTTTGAATTTGACAATTTTTATTTATTTTCATCAAATTTGTAGGGGTACAGAAGAGAAGGGGTGGTTATGGGGGGGAAAAAGCCGATAGTTTAGTACCTTGTAGTTTCGCATTTCGAGCATAACAATCATATAGCAAATAGAAACATTACATCTTGTATTTTTTAGTTCACATTACATAAACTTTCGTTCCCTGGGCAGATCACCCTTTATGGCACGTCTGACTGCGGGAACTTTGTGTAAGTGGTTATTGGCTTTAACTCTATTATTTATAATAATTTCCCATTTTGCGTAGGGGAATAAAGATAAGGCGTGGAGGGGAGCTCGAAGGGTTTAGTCTAATTGGTGCTTATAGCACTGTTGTTTCGTGTAGGATGTCTGCATAGGGTTCGAGGAATCATCTCTTTTTGTTAATTGAGTGCTTTCTCTTATTTGCCGAAAGAGGGCTGTTTCGTTGCCAATGTGTGTATCGTCTTTTAGTGGGATTCCTTTAGGGGAGACCTGTTAGAACTGATGTATGTTCCCGTTGTGGATAAACACGATGAGTGTTCACTATCCGCTTTCGATAGGGGGTCCCCTTTCTGAATAAGTGGGGATGTGATTGCTGTTGTTGCAGCGGGGATCAGAATGTACTATACTTCAGTGACCTAGTCCCTGAGAGGTACTCGTCTAAGCTACCTTTCTCTCATGTTGTGTGTAAGGTGTCGAGCTGGGGCCAGGTGCGTAATGGTTTATACTTTCATAAGGCTTTTAGTCAAGGCTGGAGGGTGAGAGTGGGGATGAGAGTGGGGGGTAGAGAATGAGGGTGAGGGTTGAGAACTTGGTGCTAGAGGTATTGTAGCCCCAATGTGGTCGACATCCGTCGGGAGCGTCAGGGGGAGTGGAGGTATGTCTCAAGTCGTGTATAGTCGTGGGTGTTAGTGGTGTATCGGGTGGGCAGTGGGCAGGGTTTGCTGCTCCCAGTAGAAAGAGGATCATGTGGTTTGTCTCTTTTTTGCCTCTCTTCGCATTAGGCTAAGGGTTGTGTTGGTGGGATCCTTGTCGAAAGGTAGGTTCGCCACATCTCGGCGATGGATGGACTTAACTTTCCGATTTTCAATAGGTGCCACATTCGGAGTTCGTAGTCCACTGTTGTTGACATCAAGGCGGTGATTTCCTGGGTTGAGGGGAGGTTTGAGGTCTTCCAATTTCTGGCTATTAGGGTGGAGACTGTGCTCAGTATAAGGAATATCATTTTTTTAGCTGGTTTGGGGGTAGCTTCAGGTAGTGATCGCAGGAGAATCGTTTTGGGCTCGTGAGGCAGGGAGTATTCCGTAATTTCTTGGATCATTTGTTCAGTCTTCTTCCACAGTTCGTTTACCGTGCGGCAGGACCACCATACATGTAGCATCGTGCCTCTGTGAGAATTGCATCGCCAGCATATGTCCGACGAACCTGGGTACATGGAGTGTAGTCGTGCGGGTACCATATACCATCTATACAGCAGTTTGCGTGAAGTTTCAAAGTGGGCCGCGCAGGAGGACATACCTTCATGCGCTGTGAAGATTTTCTTCCATTCTCGAGGGGAGATCGTTTCTTGGAGGTCTTCCTGCCAGTCTTTCATAAATTTCCATGTGCTTTCTGTTTTGAGGTTTGTTAGTCCGTTATAGCAGGTGGAGAGCGCTTTTTTAGGGGGTGATGCTGCCATGCAGTGCATTTCGAACTTCGTCGCTGTGGTCTGTAAAGTCGGTTTTCTGCTGTGGATCGTGTTGTTTTGCAGTAAGGCCTTTAATTTAAGGTATGAGAACGTGAAGTTTGATGGGAGTGTAAATTCGGTTTGGAGGTCTGGGAAGTGTTTCAGGCCTTCGGGCGTGTAGAGGTGATACATGTGTGTGATGCCTTTGTCTTCCCATTTGTGGTGAGGGAACGTGCCATTGCAGTGGTGTAGTGTTTTGGTTGGGGCTGCTAGTGCCCATGGATGCGCTGAGCATAGTTTTTCCCTGCAGGTATCCCATGTGGATATTAAGAGCCTGGTGGTAGGCAGCAGGTCCGAGCATTTCGGTCTTGCATGTTTGGGAGTCCATAAGGTGGAGGAGAGGTCGTGGTTTGTACAGAGTAGGCTTTCCATCGCTACCCATTGTGGGGGTTGTTTCGTGGTGTGAGCGTTAATGACGTTTGTGAGTAGGGCTGCTTGGTGGTATGATTTTAAGTTAGGGAAAACCATTCCCCCTTGTTGTACGTGTCTAAAGAGCAGGGCTTTAGGTACTCTGGGGTGTTTTCCACCCCAGAAGAAACGGAGGAGGATTGCTTGCATTTTTGTCAGGTAGCTCTGTGGGACCTTGATTTGCAAGGACCGAAAGAGATATAAGAGTTTAGGGAGTACTGTCATCTTGATAGCAGCTATCTTTCCGACCCATGATAGGAATAGATCTACGAAGTAGTTGTTCAATTTCCCTTTGTAGTTTTGCGTAGTTCACTGTAAATAGATCGGTGGATTTGTTGGTAATCTTGATGCCTAAGAACGTTAGGAAGTCTGTTCTCCAGTCATAATCGTGTGCCGCTTTAAGGACATTTTCAGTGGTTCTGGGCATGTTGAGGCACATTGCTTGCGTTTTGGTGATGTTGAGTTTGTAGTAGGATTGTTGGCTGTATGCGTGTAGTTCTTTGTGTAGGGAGGGAAGAGAAATGAGTGGTTGGGTGAGTGTGAGTAATATGTCATCTGCGAATAGATTGAGCTTATATTCCTGTTGGCCAAGTGGGACTCCGTGTATGTTATTATTCTCACGGATGGCTATGGACAGGGGTTCTAGGGCCAGGACGTATAGGAGGGGAGACAGTGGGCAACCTTGGCGGGTGCCGTTGGTTATCGGGAAGGGTTGCGAGCAGAACCCCGAGGTCAGAACTGTCGCTGTGGGGTTGCTGTATAGAGCCTGTATGACTGACAGGAAGGTCGGTGGAAAGCCGTAGAGGGTCATGGCTTCGTGTAGAAAGTGCCAGTTGAGGCGGTCGAACGCCTTTTCGGCGTCAAGTGATAGCATAATGCTCTCTGTGTTGGTGTGTTTTAGGAGATGGTGTAGGTTCAGGACCTTTCTGGTGTTATCCGGGCCCTGTCTGCCCGCCACGAAACCCACCTGGTCTGTGTGTATGAGGGAGGGTAGTATTGCTTTAAGTCGGTCAGCATGGATTTTCGCGTAGAGTTTAGCGTCTGCGTTAAGCAGTGAGATAGGTCTGAAATTTTGGCATACAGTTGGGGTCTTTCCCGGTTTGGGTATCGTGATTACGTGGGCTGACAGGAACTCAATGGGGAAGGAGCTCTGGGTAGTTGCTTCGTTGAAGAAATGGGTAAGGGAAGGGGCAAGTTCGTGTTTGAATGTCTTGTAGTATGTGTTGGTGTACCCATCTGGGCCTGGTGCTTTACCTCTGGGCAGTGCCTCAATGTGGAGAAGGACTTCTTCTAAGGTGATTGGGGCACTGAGCTGTGTCGCTTGATGTGCGTTTATAGTGGGGAGTGCGAGTTTGTTGAGGTAAGACCTAATGGATGTCGGTGAGGGTCTGGGCACATTCTGGTCGTCTTTCAAGTTGTATAGAGAGCCATAGTAGTGGGCAAATTCGTTGCATATATGTGAGGGTTGCAGTACTTTGTGACCAGTGTGTGTTTTTATGTATTGTATTCTAGTTTGTGTCTGTTGATCTCTAAGTCTGTGCGCCAATGTTTTTGTAGCTTTGTTGCCCATTGAGTAGGATGTGGCTTTTAGCGTTTTCAACGCAGCCGTTGCCTTGCGGAGGTGTATGGCGTTAATTTAGTCTTGCGTGGATTGGATTTGCTGCTGGAGTGCTTTTGTGGGGTTTGCTTGGTTTGATCTATGGAGGTCTTGGATCTTCTTAAGGAGCGAAAGCATTGAGGAGTAGTTCAATTTTTTAAGATGGGCTGCTCTACTTATCAGGATGCCTCTAACGACAGCTTTGTGGGCTAGCCACAGGGTGGCCGGGGTCGTGTCTGCAGGGCTATTGGTTGTGAAGTATGAAGTCATTTCGTCTCTCACTTGCTTTAGGAAAGAGGGTTCGTTAAGGAGATGTTCGTTCATTCTCCAGGGGCTGCGGTGTTTGAATTGGTACGAGTCTGCTAGGACCAGCGACACCGGATTGTGGTCCGAGATCGTGGATGTTTCTATGTCACACGTTCGTATTAGTTGAAGGTGCGCGGAGCGCAGGAGGAACCCATCTATCCGGGAGTAGGTATTATGTACTTGGGAGTAGTGGGTGTATTCCTTGTTAGTGGGGTGGAGAATCCTCCAAATGTCGTATAGTCCATGTGCTGACAGTAGTTTGTTTATGGAGTTGCAGCTCTTGTGTAGTGATTTCTTGCGTGACGATGTGTGTCGGGCTGTGGAGTCTGTATCAGGGTCTAGTATGTGATTGAAGTCACCGCAAATGACCGTGGTGCCCGTTTGGATTTTCTCAACTTTGTCAAGCAGGTGAGCTAGGTAGGTCTCTTGGTTGTCATTTGGCGAGTAAGAATTCACTATCGTGTACGTTGAGTTATTTAAGGTGCAGATTAAAATGATGTAACGACCTTTCGGATCAGAGTCGATTGAGATTAGGTCAAAGGCTATAGAGTGGCTTATCAGTATCGTTACACCTTTACTTTTGGTTGGGGAGGTGGAATGAAACTGGTGTGGATAGGATTTGAGATCCAGGACGGGGTTGGAGTCCTGTTTGAAGTGGGTCTCCTGTAAGCAGACGATGTCTGCGTGCGTGTTATTAAGTTCTTTAAGGAGGGTGTGTCGTTTGTTGGGTGAGTTTAGACCTCTTACGTTGTGGGTAAGTAACTTCATTTTCCGTGAGTGGTGTATATTGTGTATGTGGATAATATTAGGGAGTCGTGTGGGGCAGTTAAGTGGTGTGGAGGCGGGAAGGGAAACAGTCTCAGTCTTGGGGAGTCGAGGGGTTGATCAGCTCGTCCGGCGTGGGCGACCGTGTGGTTCAGCAACGAGTATTCACGGTCTGGTAGGAGCTAGGTGCAACTAGGAAATCAATCAAATTTTCCAGCACAGAATAACAAAATAAAAATATAAACGGTTAAACAGTAAACAAAGAAAGTATCTTACAAGGTGTCTTAAAGGGTATGTGCCTTCGCTATGGCACTTCCTAGGTGGGGGTAGTGTGGGCGGTTCGGTTTGAGCGTAGATCGCTACGGGCCCTATGTGATTCCGGGGCATCTCCCCTGCCTGAAAGGTTGGTGTGTAATGATTGGAGCGCTCAGCACCGCTGTGGGTATAGTAGGGCTTAAGTGGTTTTAGAGGAGGCTGTGTCCGCGAGGGACAGCCGCCAAACTAATAAAGGAAAAGAGAGGGATGTGCACCCTATGTAAACAGGGCGAGGTTGTTAGGCTAGGCCTAGTGTGGCGGCGTGCTCAATGCCGCTCCCTTCACCAAGGGGAGTCATTCGAGGGCATATCATAAGGGTGCCAATTAGTAATAAACATGACATTAACATACGTTATAACCTAGGATATAACATTTAGGTAACAAAGCAAACATGTTGCGAACTTGCTGTTTCTTATCGGGTACGGTCAGTCCTCTCTCGGAGAAGTGCGTTTACCGGGGTTTCTGGGGTTTGGCTGTGTGTTGTGGGATAAACCCCACTGCTTCAGGAGGTTCAGTCCTTCCGTCGGTGTAGCAGCCGGGATGATTTTTCCTCCCTTTGTTATGAGCAGCTTGGCTGGATAGCCCCATCTGTATGGCACTCGGTTTTGCCTCAGCGTGTCTGCCACGACCTTGAAGGATCGTCTGCGGCGTAGCGTCTCTGCTGATAGGTCCATGAACAGGAGTATGTCTTGGAATTGGGTAGGTAAGTCCTTTTTGGTGCGGTGCGCCCGTAGGATCTGTTCTTTGATGTGGTAGTAGTGGAGTCTCATAAGGACATCTCTCGGTGTGGAAAGCGGTAGGTGTTGAGGCTTGGGGAGTCTGTGGATGCGGTCTAGTAGAAACATTTCTGCGGGGATATCAGGTAGTAAAGCGTGGAAATATCCTCTGGTACCCCTCTCAGCCGTATATTATTGCGGCGTGATCTGTCTTCGGCATCCGCCATTTTGGTCTCTTGTCTGTGCATTTGTTCTTCAAGTATACTGAGGCGTGTGTCAGCAGCATTGCAGGCCCCGGTGAGGCTTTCCATGCTGTCCTCCAGGTGGGAGGCCCTAGCTTCTATCTCTTTTAAGCCTTTCCTTATGTCATTTAAAGCATTGGTGACAGCAGCTTGCATTTTGGTGACTGCTGCATCTAACATAGTTTGCAGGAGATTTTGGGTCAGGGGGCAGTCATCTTGTCTGCTTACTATTTCGTCGCGTTCTATTTCGCATTCTTGGCCGGCGCCATCTTGGATCTGGGGGTCGGCGGTTTTATGTTGCGGCGTGCGGGCTGTGAAGAAGGCATTTTTTTCTTTTGCCTCCGTAGCCTTTTTCGTCCGGTGCTGGGACATTGTGTGAGCGTTGGTGGGCAGGGGATGCACCCGGTAAGGGTTGTTTTAGCCGCTTTTTCAAGCCCGTGATCGCGGAGCTCGCTTAGTGTGCGTCCATCACTTTGAGCAATTTTTTAAGAGGTATAAAACGTGCCATCTTGGAGAATCTATCTACAACCATGAGGATGGTGTTATATCCATTAGAACTGGGGAGAGCCACAATGAAATCCATGGCTAAATAGGTCCATGGAACTTCAGGTATTGGAAGTGGCTGTAGCAACCCAGGGGGTGATTTATGAGATGTTTTAGAAACAGCACATATTTAACATGCCCTACATAGTCTTTAACGTCACCTCTAAGTGTAGGCCACCAACATTTCCTAGAAATAGCAGAGAGTTTTATGTATTCCAGGATGTCCTGCTGTCAGATTATCATGAAATAATCCAAATACTTTTTTCCTCAACAATGGTGTAACGTACAGTTTGTCCGGAGGTTTCTCAATGGGTGCCTGAGTTTGATCGGAAACCGTAGTAGCAATAAGACATTCTGGAGGTACGACTGGGAATACCTCTTGTTCAGGAACCTCATCTGTCTCAAACTGTGTAGACAGCGCATCTGCCTTAGTGTTCTTGGTCCCGGGCCTGTATGTAATGACAAAATTGAAACGGGAGAGAAATAATGACCATCTAGCCTGTCAGGAGGACAATCTCTTGTAAAGGCACATCAGGACTCTCTCGCTGAGGCAGAATGGCTCCCACTCCTGTCTCTGACGCATCTACTTCTAAAATAAAAGGTTTGGTCGGATCGGGGTGCATCAGAACAGATGCAAAAGCAAATAAAGATTTAAATGTTTCAAATGCCTCCTTTGCTTCTTTTGGCCAAGAATTGCAGTTGGCTCCTTTTTTGGTAAGATTAGTGATGGGAGCGATTGCTGATGAAAAACCCTTAATGAATCTGCGGTAATAATTAGCAAATCCTACAAAGCGCTGTATAGCTTTAAGACCTTTAAGTAACGGCCATTGTAATACTGCCTCCAGTTTGCGTGGGTCCATTTTGAAGCTAGAAGGGGATATTACATATCCAAGGAATTGTATTTCAGTCTGGTCAAGCTGGCATTTTTCAAGTTTGCAATATAAGTTGTTCTCTAACAGGGTTTTTAACACGATTCTCACATGTTCGTGATGTGTTTCTAGGTCTGGGGAATAGATAAGAATGTCATCTAGAAACACCAGTACAAACATGTGGAGGTAATCTCTAAGAACATAGTTTATAAAATCCTGAAATACCGCTGGGGCGTTGCACAAACCAAACGGCATAACCAGGTATTCATAATGTCCCATTCTAGTATTAAACGCTGTCATCCACTCATGTCCTTCCTTAATTCTGACTAGGTTGCATGCACTCCTTAGGACGAGTTTGGTGAATACTCTGGCACCTTTCAACCTGTCAAATAGCTCAGAAATAAGGGGAATTGGGTAGGCGTTTTTAATCGTTATTTTATTCAGACCCCTATAATCGATGCAAGGGTGTAGGTCTCCTTCTTTTTTGGAAACGAAGAAGAACCCAGCCCCAGCAGGTGAAAGGACCTTCGTATGTGACCCTTTCTTAGGGCATCTTTAATATATTCCTCTAAGCAGAGATTTTCTTGAGGAGACAGCGCATAAACTCCTAGGGCATAGTGACTGGTAATAAATTTAGGGCACAGTCATAGGGTCTATGCGGTGGTAATACCTCTGACTGAACCTTGTTGAAGACTTCCTTTAAGTCTAAATACCGCAGAGGAATTTTCATGGTTAAGGGAGGTGTCGTAGGTACATTGATGGTACCAACACGTTGTGGCATTTGGTGTATACAATGACCTCTGCAACAATTTCTCCTTTAACCCAATCTAGACGTGGATTGTGTTTCTGGAGCCATGGAAAACCGAGTATTATAGGACAGTTAGGGGAAGATATAACCTGGAAAACCATTTCCTCAGAATGTAAGATGATTATTGAGACTGTGATTGGCAATGTTTCCCGCATGATGAGAGGCTGGGTAAGATGTCTCCCACCAATAGCTTCCACTGCTATGGGTCTATCTTACTGCCTTAATGGCAGGAGATGTTTAGCAGAGAATTCTTTGTCAAGGAAATTCTCCGCTGCCCCAGAGTCAATCATGACCTCACTCTGAACAGTAGTTCTCTTACAATGCAGAGTAATTTTAACAAGGAAACGGTTCTTAGTCAATTTGGGGGACATATACATCACACCTAAGGTCGGTCCCCGAACGTGCTTTAGGTGCGCAAGTTTTCCGGCCGAGCCAGACGTGAGAGCCTTTGATGTCCCTGTTTTCCATAATATAGACATAACCCCTCGTTACGTCTGTGTTGTCTCTCTGCCTCAGTGAGCTTAGCAATGCCCAATTGCATGTGCTCAACTTCTGGAGGTGGAGCAGGGTTAACTATTACTGGGCTGGAGAAACGAGGGGCTATAGGTAAGTTGGTACGTCTAGTACGCTGTTTGTTTTTCTCTCTTTCTCAGAGCCTATTATCAATATCAATCATGTATGTTATATAATCATTGAGATTTACCGGAAGGTCTCTGGCTGCGGTCTCATCCTGTATATTTTCAGCCAAACCTTCAGAAAATGCAGCCACCAGTTAGTCCAATCCACCTGTCCTGAACTCAATGGCGTAGTCAGCTACAGAGCCGGTGCCTTGCTTTATTCTCATTAAGGCTTTAGCAGCGTTTTTCTCTCTTCCCTTAAGTTCAAAGGTAGCTCTAAATGCCGTTAAAAATTCATTATAGAATTCATTATAATCACGGGCAATGGAATTACCGCTTTCCCATAAGAGATTGGCCCACGTTGAGGCCTTGCCCGTAAATTTTTTCATAAGATAGCCAATCTTTGACCTGTCTGTTGGGAAGGAGCCAGGGGAAGCTTCAAAATTATATTCAATTAAGTTCAGAAAACCTCTGAACTCCTTGGAATCACCTCCAAAACGAGGGGGAGGAGAAAGGGTTATGGATGGAGGTTTATATACCACAGGTGCAGGAATAGGTGGCTGAGCTACCGGTTGTACTGGAGGTGCCTCGAGATAAGCAGTTCTCTGAAGCAAGGTCTGGAATGCTTGGGCAAACTGATCCAACCTGTGGTCCTTATCCTCCACCCTGCGTTCACATGCTATTATATGCTTACATAGTTCTGCAGGATCCATGGCGCTGTCGTAATGTCACGACTGCTAGTGTGGTCAAACACGCAGAACTATGTAACATTAACATAAAAAATAGAAAGGAAATAAAAAAGGATAGAACGTAAACCGGTCCTTAGAATGGCCGGACTAATACGTTAGAGACAGAGAATGGTCAAGGGAAAGCCGAGGTCAAGGAAGCCAGAAATACAAAAATGCCGTTAAACAAGCCAAGTCAGGGGAACCAGAAATCAGAGTAATCAGGAATAGCCAAGGCCAAAATACCAGAACTCACAAATACAGCAAGGATAAACGTACTCTCGGGAACCAGGACAGGAAACCACGATAGGGCAAGGTACTGGGGTGAGTCAAAAATGGGTTGCAAGAGAATACTGAGGACGGGCAGCAGCTGAAATAGCCTGCCCTTCGGTCGGTCCCCGCTCAGTTCTCAAGCTGATTTTTGCTCATCTTGTGCCATTACAGAGAGAACATATCTGAAGCATATCAGACTGGTCCCACCCATACAGGCAGTCCAGATCCGAAATGCCAGCAAGTTCTCTCTGCACGAGAGATACAGCAACCCCAGATGATCGTTTCAGCCTTGTTAGGCATCATCAGTGAGGCATAGCTGATATCTCCCTAGGCACCGTGAGCAAGGGGTCCACGTCTGGATTATCCCTTTAAACTTGTAGAGAGTCAAAAATGGGTTGCAAGAGACGTGAACCCCTTGCTCACGGTGCCTAGAGAGATATCAGCTATGCCTCACTGACGATGCCTAACAAGGCTGAAACGATCGTCTGGGGTTGCTGTAACTTGCTGGCATTTCGGGTCTGGACTGCCCGTATGGGTGGGACCAGTCTGATATGCTTCAGATATGTTCTCTCTGTAATGGCACAAGTTGAGCTAAAACCAGCATGAGTTCTGAGCGGGGACCCACCGAAGGGCAGGCTATTTTAGCTGCTGTCCGTTCTCAGAATACTCTTGCGACCCATTGTTTGCTCTCCATTAGTCTAAAGGGTAATCCAGACGTGGACCCCTTGCTCACGGTGCCTAGAGAGATATCAGCTATGCCTCACTGACGATGCCTAACAAGGCTGAAACGATCGTCTGGGGTTGCTGTATCTCTCGTGCAGAGAGAACTTGCTGGCATTTCGGGTCTGGACTGCCCGTATGGGTGGGACCAGTCTGATATGCTTCAGATATGTTCTCTCTGTAATGGCACAAGTTGAGCTAAAACCAGCATGAGTTCTGAGCGGGGACCCACCGAAGGGCAGGCTATTTTAGCTGCTGTCCGTTCTCAGAATACTTTTGCGACCCATTGTTTGCTCTCCATTAGTCTAAAGGGTAATCCAGACGTGGACCCCTTGCTCACGGTGCCTAGAGAGATATCAGCTATGCCTCACTGACGATGCCTAACAAGGCTGAAACGATCGTCTGGGGTTGCTGTATCTCTCGTGCAGAGAGAACTTGCTGGCATTTCGGGTCTGGACTGCCCGTATGGGTGGGACCAGTCTGATATGCTTCAGATATGTTCTCTCTGTAATGGCACAAGTTGAGCTAAAACCAGCATGAGTTCTGAGCGGGGACCCACCGAAGGGCAGGCTATTTTAGCTGCTGTCCGTTCTCAGAATACTTTTGCGACCCATTGTTTGCTCTCCAAGGTACTGGGGTGAATCAGGGATTTAAATATCCCTCTCTAGCCTATGATTGGTGAGAGGGTGACCTCTGACCCCAGAACGTGTGCGTGCGTTGACATCGTGACGTCATATGCATGTTAGTATACTTGGGGGGGCGGAGCCACGGATGGACGCGACCGCATGGTCGGCGCCATCTTTGTTTTGGAGAGAGAACGCGGGGAGCGGTTTTCGGCTCGCCGCCGAGCAGGTAAGCTGAGCTTGTCGTGCCGATCGTGCCGGTCAAGCCGTGACAAATATGTATACGAATATGGATATCCAGGTCACCTCCAAAGTGCAGACAATAAAGCCAACATATCAACATCATTGGGGAGGTTTGCTCTTCTTTGGAAGTGTTTCCAGAATTTACTTCAACCATGGGCTGTGAAATGACCAGGCTCATCTCTAGTATCAGAGATAAGATGAACTCAGCTTTTTAATTCAGTATTAATATAGCCCAAATAAATATTAAATGATAACATATCCAATCATAAAGTTTAGAAATAAAAAAAATCCTAATGCGAAAGCTTATTTACCCATAATTCTCAGAGCCAATTGGAACCAGCCCTGGCAGTGAAAAGATTTACACTGGAACACAACATGCTACCTTTTGTTCGGTTACAACTGCTGCAAGTGTCCAGAGTCCAGGCTGGTGAGAAGCTCTGTGGTTAAAGGAACTCTATAGTGTCAGGAATACAAACATGTATTCTCTATGCCGTAAATAGGTGTTTTTATTTACCTTTTCTCCCAAACCGCACTGGTCTTGCCCTGACAGACCATGCTTCCATGGCTGAGATTATCAATCTTGATGATCTCAGCCAATCCATTGCTTTCCCATAGGAAAGCATTGGGAGGCTTACGGGCATGTGCAGCAAAACGCCATGCTGCGTCAATCAACATCCTCTTATAGAGATGTATTGAATCAATGTATCTCTATGGGGAACATTCAGCATCTCCACGCTCTGTATACGGTGCAGCACTGAACTAGGAAGCACCTATAGTGGCCGTCTGAGTGACTGTCACTAGAGGTTTTACTATACAGCAATGTAAACATTGCCTTTTCTCTGAAAAGGCAGTGTTTACATTGAAAGGTCTGCAGGGACTGACTATAGACACCAAAACAACTACATTAAGCTGAAGTGGTTCTGATGACTATAGTGTCCCTTTAAAGTCCCATTTACATTTGTCATCATTCCATGTTTGATTATGAAAATAAATATCAGTATCTTGTGTGCTTACTATTGTCGAGGCAATCTAAATCAAGCAAATGAAAGGATGCAAATGGGCATATTTTTGCAATATGCAAATTAACTTTCACAAAAGATTGATTTGCATAGGAGGACTCCGTCTTGATATCACAGTTTGGATGAAACTATAACACTAACCGCTAAGTTTTATTAAATCTGTTTACGTTTGCTAGCAGTAAAATCAAATAAATGCATTTAAAACTTAAAAAAAAAAAAAAAGATTTGTTATTCACAAATATGGGGGGATAACTAATCCCCTTCAAGCAATAACACTGAATCTATACATTCAGTAAGAACATTTCCAGCAAGTGTAAATATTAAAGGGACACTATAGGCACCCGGTCCATTTCTTCTCAATTAAGTGGTATGGGTACCATTTCCCTGTAGATTTAACACAGCATCTTAAAATATTGCGTTCTGCAGGATTGGCAATATTTACAGTGCCAGGTTTAAATGCCTCTAGTGGTTGTCACTCTGACAGCCACTAGAGGTGCTTCTGTACAAATAGCGGAGTAAAACTCTGCTATTTCAGCCAGATGGTTTCCTAGAGATGGGCACAGTGTGGTATTTTACCACGCATGCCCACTAGCCTCTAAAAGCTTTCTTATGGGAAATCCAGATTGATGATCTCCTGGACAGAGTCGAGCCACACTCTGGTGCTGTTTACAGGAGGGGAAGGGGGAGGGGGAGGGGAGCAGGGGGGGAAGGGGTGTGCGGAACCCTACACAGCAAGCCGGACACTTTAGCATTAGGAATACATGTTTGTATTCCTAGAGCTATAGTGTTCCTTATTGATCGAAATAAGTCCATGTGTGCATGTGCCCCGAAGTAACATAAAGCATGCGCACAGATCCAGGCTTACGGCCTAGGAGCAAAAGCTTTTTTTTTATCTATATATTTGCTAACAATCTGATTAGCAAATGTATAGCCAAAACATTATTCTCTAGAAAAGCACCCCCCCCCCCCGCGCTCCGACTCCTGTTTAGATGACGGCTCCCTTTTATGGACCCTTTTATCTGTGCGTTAGATCCAGCGTATATGTAAATGTCGTAAAAGCGCCTGGTGCCATGCAGGGGGTTAAACAGGAAAAAGACAAGGCATTATACGGCTTACCTGTACTGAAACGTCATGTTTGTTATTTTAATCTTAATTTCTTCCCCGTGGCGATTCTCTCCTGTCATCTCGAACAGCTTGTTTGCCATTCGCTCATAAACTTTGGCGTTCCTTTTAGTTTGTTTCAGCTCCTCGAAGTATTCCTCCCATACCAGCATTAGGCCTCTCATTTCTGCATCAGTCCAGTTCCTGGCTCTCCTGTGTTTTTCGCTCTGAGAAGACAGAGTGTAACAAGGGATTTCAGCTGCTGCCATGACTTGTGCTGTGTGTGTGCTGAAAGGGTTTTTAAAAGAGAACAGGCTAGGAAATGGTTTTTAAGTCCTGATTTCTCTTGCAGAGGCAGGCAAGCATATGTGTAAGGGCTGTAGCATTTGAATGACAAGAGAACATATGAAACCTTTTTTCCAACAGCTTGAAGCCTGAGAGCATAAAAATGGGGCCTAGATCTGACAGGCTGGAATTTAGTTAAAAGCTTTTAAACAGGGAAACGTCATTTTGATGTCACGTTCCCATAGCAACAGAGCAACTGCATAAGCTACAACAACAAAAACCTTTTAACTGAAAGCCAAATAATCAGGACAAAGTTGACAGGCCTTCAATATTAAAGCTTTTAAACACTTAAAAAAAAAACCATTGCACAATAAAAAGATCTGCATAGTCTTTAGGGCCAAGCTGACTCCATTGAGCTTTTAAGTTGTTCTTTATTGCAGATTCATTCAAAAAGAGAGATTCCAGACACACAAAGACAGTCTTTTAAACAGAACGTTAATAATAATAATAATAATATATATCTTTATTCTTTATACAAGGAGAGAGCTGGATGTTAACTGTATACGGAATGTTTACCTTAATCACATGCTCGTGTGCATGTGTGCATTCTAAATGTACACAGAAATCTTATATTTTAAAGAGCTCGACTAAGCAAAAACACACAAAATACAATAGGAAGAATGCAAGCTGTTATCGTTAGGTTGTGTTTATCTTTTCATGTATGGAGCGCTGTGTATAACAAAACAAAACAAAGCAAAAAAATAATTCAAAACAGATGCAATAATGAGGTTTTTCTTAGAATTAGCTGATCGAAATTAAATTTTAGCACCATAACTGTGAGACTGGATATTTCTCAGGTCTCTCACACCGACGTGGACTTGTCACCAAATTTCTGCTTTCCCAGACCTGGGGAAAGGCCCGTTAGAAATAACACACACAGGACAACACAATTTGTTTTCAAACAAGCCTTTCATTTTCTCCTTCACAGCAAAGGCGATATATAGATTATTAGTATAGGGTATTACACTTTATTCAGCCAATCGCAGATTGGCACAGTATTCTTGGCAAACCCACCAATTCTTACACATCACGTACAATTCTGTATGTTAGGGGTCGATAAGCAAACATGTTCAGCATAACTTAGGGTGGGGTGGAATACTTGTTTTTCAAGCAGAGAAGAAGCCCCTACTAAACATTTTAAAACATCTCACTAATACAGCTAAAAAGTCTCTAATCATTATATATAATTTGATACATGAAGCCAAAGCAATAAAAAAAAGGACCCTAACAATAACCACTACAGCGTTTAATCTTTTATTGTGCCCACAGTTAGATGGGCTTATTTCTTATTTAAAGGGACACTCCAGGCACCCAGACCACTTCTGCCCATTGGAGTGGTCTGGGTGCCAACTCCCACCACCCTTAACCCTGCAACTGTAATTATTGCAGGGTTAACTCCTCCTCTAGTGGCTGTCTACTAAACAGCCACTGGAGGGCACTTCCGTATTTATAGCACATGAAAAGTGTGCTATAGCGTCGCTGGACGTCCTCATGTTATGTGAGGACCTCCAGCATCGCTGAAATCGCCATAGGAAAGCATTGAAAGCATTTTTCAATGCTTTCCTATGGGGTGGTCTAACGTGCATGCCGATTAGGTCTCCCCCGCCGCCGGCCGCGCATGCTCAATAGGTTTCTCCTGCCGGATGACGTCAGTGGGGGAGGAGCGTGGGTGGATACTGAACCAGCGCAGAGGGACATTGGCGCTGGATACAGGTAAGTCACTGAAGTAGGTTTTAACCTCTTCAGCAACTTTGCATGGGGGGTGGGAGGGAGAGGGAACCTTCAGTGCCAGGAACACGGTTTGTTTTCCTGGCACTGGAGGGCCCCTTTAATTTCTGTTTAATTGAGCTACAGATCCCCTTTATTTAGCAAACCACTCAAAAATGTTAGGCCACAAACCAGGGCCATGACACCTAAATACTATGTACATAACCACTACAATGAACTTTAAAGGACAACTCCAGGCACCATAACAACTTCCTCATAACAAAGTTGTTATTGTGCGAGGAGGTCCTGGGCACTGTTTTAGTGGAGGACGGCTCTCGATAACTCTACCAGGCTATGTCCTTTCTTGGTCTGAGGCTTCCACCAGAAAGGTGGTCCATTTGCCACTTATAGGCTCTTAGTCCATCATTATCACCCCATTCAGAAAACTGACTGAAAAATAGATGTACCCTTTTCTTCGCAGGTTTCTGAATAGGAAGCTAGTGACAAGATGAAAGCATTCTTTCTGAAGCCTCAGACAAGGAAAGGAAGTGCAAAATAAGAAAAATCATTTAGTACAGCGGTTTCCAAACTGCACGGGCATATAGGGGAGCCGCAAGATTTTTTCCCAGTGCTATCATCATAGCACTGGGAACTGTGCCTCCCTCTCCCCTGCCGGCTCAGCAGGACCAGAGGAATCTCCCTCTCTGGCCCGCTTGCAGTGTACTGCTGGCAGCTGGCAGGGGAGGGAGGGAGAGACGACCTGGGGGCGTTCTAACCTGCGCCCCTGCCAGGATCTCCTCTCGCAATGTCAGAGCATTGCCACGGTTACCACGACAACGGTCCGAATCTCGCAAGTGTGAACTCTACCAACTCCTGAGGCTGCTAAGACCACCAGGGCTTCTCCACCTGACCACCAGGGATTGTCACCCCTCCCAGGCAAAGGTAAGCAGGGAGGGGGGGATATGAATTTTTTTTTAAAATTTAAAAATAAATCATATATTCATGAATTTGTCCTCCCACCCCCACAGACCCCACACCACACAATAACTGCCCCCATACACACAATTACCCTCCATACACACTGCTCCACACACATTGTACCTCTCGCACAACCTGCCCCCACACACACTGTACCCCTCATACAACCAGTCCCTACACACACACACACTGTACCCTTCACGCACAAGCTGCCCCACATACCAAGACACTCCACCACTCACACACACACACCCACATATTGCACACCTCACACACAGTACTGCCCCTATCCCCTTCTACAGCCCCTATCCCAGCAGATCCCAGGTAAGTTGTCAAACTGTTCTTAAACAGTTTTACTACTGACTCTGGGAGGGCACTACTGGCAACATAAACACTACAAAGTGCTGTAGTGGTTATTGTGCCTGAATTGTTTCTTTAAATAATCTACCAGTACCCCTCCCAAGATTAGATTCTGGATCTGCGCCTGAATGGCCCCAGTTTCTGCCGAACAGAGGCCCAGTATATGCCACTTCGCTGTACATATATACAACCTAAAAACATTTTTGACTTGGGGCGCCTTGGAAAAATATTAAAATATTACGGGTGCTGTGAACCTAAAAAGTTTGGGAACCACTGACTTAGTATATAAGACTTAACCAAAAAGGTGTCTCACTAAAACCCCAAAACTATATGAAAACTAAAGAAATATATATATGTAAATACATATATATATCAGATGGAAAACACTGAGAAAAAATGATATAATAAATATGCTATATTACAACCTAGTATAGGTGCTTTTAAATCTAGGAAGGGAAAAACAAATATAGTGTAATACAAACATATATAGAGGGGACTCCTTAAGCAAGACACATCCCTGAAGAAGTCCCCTAGGATGAAACGTGTTTGACCTACTGTGTTCTTTTATATTTTATAATTTATTTTATGTATTTTGGCTGCTATAATCTCTTGTTACTGTGGGATTGCTGTAAGCTCTCTGAGTTCCTGGGTGTGGCAGCCACCCCGAGAGAAGAGGGGTTTCCACCGCCAGAGATGTCCTTTCCCCCTAGTGTGAGTAATGCTGTAGTATTCCCAAGCAGTAATCCAAGGGGTACTAAAGCAGGTATAGCTAGTATAGCTGTTTCTTACAATCACGAGACGAGGCTCTGTGTTGAGCGTGAAGTTGAACTGTTTTAATGGAAGCCACAACTGGCCTTATATGCAAAGGGTTTCTGATTACATATTCCAGGGGCATTCCCCACTTGACCTGAGAGGAGACTACAGTAAAAGTACATACATAATTACATTAACTCTCAGGTCCAGGACATGCATAAAGAAAACACCCCAAAATACACACTTAACAAGTAGGTACCCCCTCAAGTCCTATATCCCCGGGTAACCTGGATCTGAGCGCCCAACATATCCAGAAAGCACTCAGATCCCACAAATGTAGCCAAAATGCCACCGACATATAGTTTAGACCGACCGCACATGAGGCGCCTGCCCAAAAGAGTTCCATGGATTCAGGCTGAGTGGTTGGTCTCTTTTGGCAGTACAAAAAAACAATAAAATAACGAAGATAACTGTTTGTATAGGGGTTAGTTGTATGCCCCTCGTTCGGGAGTTTGTTTCTATTGAACACCGCTCTTCTTGGTGGAAGTCCCAGCAGTGTTCGTGCCGCCGAGTGCCCGATTTTAGTTCCATACATTCGACGACCAAACAACGCTGTATGGCCACCACCTTGTGTTCGGCCATATGAACGGCGGCCACCCAGTCGACCGCTTGGAATGTTGATAATTGCGGTTTGTGAAAGTGTGAAGGAGGTCAGGCAGGTCAATGAGCGGCACATGACTGTTCTGGGTGGTCTGTCCATTCGGTACATTGTTCGGCATAAGAACCAAATGGGTCAATCTGTTCGGTGAGGTTCCTATACCGGACCAGTCAATATAAAACAATAATTCAGGGACAGGGGGATCTGTCACACTGGGATCCACTTTTGTAGAGATATGTAGTTTTATCACAGATGTTTGTAAGTGCATTTACCCATTAAACCATTTTTATGATATACTGTATTGCACTATCTTCCTTTCTATTCATACCTTAGAGTATATAATTAACAAGATCACTTTTGGATCAAGACAGTATCGCTGGATCGATACCACTGTGGGGTGATGTGCTTTAAATTCCCCTTTTACTGCATTTATCTGTAACTGTATTATGCTATGTTTGTTTTTTCCCT